GAAGTCTTTAGTTCCGACAGCAACAGATTTGAACTAAAGGGGCGCGGATGCCGAGAAAGATTGACAAGGCATAATTCACCAGTGCTATCACACGCGGATCTTAAGTCCCAAATATGGGCAGACGGCTAACGTGAAACCGCTAACTGCAAACCGCGGTTTAGCGTTTGCGGTAAGATGGCCAAACCTCGATCTTCAAATCAATGGCTACAATTGAAGCCAGCGCTGTAAATGACGGATTTGGAAATTAAATTTATTTTTCTCTGACGAAGACGAAATTATTTTGCTTGTTTGTTTTCTCTCATGTCGGCTGTTCTCAACTTCTCAATTATGAAAAAATTGAGTGAAGTTTTTGCGCTTGCAAAAATTTTCTTTTGCAATATTATTCATCCCTGCTGTCTCCGAAAACAGATGTTTTGGTGAAATTCAAAATGGAATCATGGAAATTTTTGGGTTACGTGGTGGATTAGGAGAGAGCGAGAGCCCAAACAATAAGCCATAATTAAGGCTTTGACGTGTTCATTGTTAAAATGGAAGAATGCTTTTGATTCTGGGATGATTATCATCAAAGCCTTTTCTATTTTCTTTCTCACGCCTTTACAGAGCATGGCTGCATGATATATCAAATCTCCGGGGAACCATATAGTATAACAAAACAAGCAACAACTGCAAGCCAGGGCAGCACGAAACAGTGAAATATTGCGCTTCTAGTGGCAAGTGAAACACCCAGATGTTGAGATTAAAACTGAACTCTACCAGCGAAGATTCCTCGTCGATTCCTTTGACAAGCGAATACCCATTAGCTGTGAGAAGTTTTGAAGAAGTGATCTTTGAAATTATCATTGGTTGTGTTTTGTGTCTGCTTGGCGTAACAGGGAACGGCTTAGTTTGTTATGTCATACACCGGAGCCGCTACACAAAATCTTCGATGTATTTCTTCATGGCACAGCTTGCTGTTGCAGACATCCTTGTCTCATCGATCTCAATACCTCTGACTTTGGTCTCTACGTATCCGAGACCGCTTCTTCTGCTTCAAGGCGATATTCCCTGCAAAATGGTCCGTTTCCTGCAGTACCTTCTTCCGCCTGCATCTGTAAACATCCTAACTGCCACTGCAGTCGATAGATTCCTCCTTATTTGTTACCCGCTGAAGTTTTTGTACCGAACGAAAGTCAAATTCCTCGCAATTTTCTGCTGGGTGTCCGCTGTAATTACTGCAATGCCAGTGCTGTATCTGGTAAATTCTCGTCCCGTTACGCTGAACAATGAGGTTTACAAGTTCTGTGCCATAAAGGAAACATCCTCATTTCCCAAACTTGGTTCAACTTATTTAACAGTTCGAGGAATTTTGGCATTTCTTTTTCCTCTTTTGATAATCGTACTACTTTATTACAACATTTTAAAAACAGTATGGAGGAAAAACACCATCAAGAGCCGAAAGCGACGAAATGTGATCAAGAGTTTGGGTTTGGTTGTTTGCGCGTTCTTTGTGAGTTGGGCTCCATTTTCAGTCATATCAAAATATTCGATCCTCGTAGAAAAGCGATACGACACAATTTCCAGAGCTGAATTAATAACATTTTGGATTGGTCTGTCAGCATCTGCGTACAACCCTGTTATCTACGCATTTTACAACAAAAATTTTCGAGACGCTTTTCGCGACGTTTTTCTTCGTAGAAAAGAGAGGAGAAGAACTCCAGTTACCTTTAACCCTAATGTAAAAGCTATGAAAGAAGTTGTGGAAGGTACTATTCCTGACTTGAAATCTGGTGCACCTATATTGCTTAAACACGCAAAGGTTGCTTAATAATTTCAAAAAAATTCGAAACCAATGAAAAGCTTAAGTTTATTTCCTTTCTGAGAAGTACAACTCACGTTTGAAAAGTTGAGATTTTTAGGGTATACAGCTAGGGACACAGGAAAGTTTAAATAAAAGTCGGTGAAAATTTGCCATGCTTCTAACGTTGTTAAAGCCGGGTATCTCTTCAATCACCTCAGTCGTCATCGTGTTTTAATCCGCCAAACACCTGCAACAAAAAAAAGCCTTCTAATGCAAAGGGCCCTCAAACAACACACATAACAACAGAACGCGTCGCTCTGCAAAACACAGAGATTCTATATTAGGGCTTTTCATTGTAAATCAAAAGACACGACTCCAAGAACAGACAAAAGACAACGTCGTGCGTGATACTGAAAAAAATAAACTAATTAAGTGGATTGGAGCAGAGGATTTAATGGATGAATTGGTGGTCAACCCTGTTGACTATTGGTCAGGGTCATTGTGGCTGACA